CTCTGGAAACCTCACTCACCCATGGAAACCCACTGGATGACCTTGGGCAGGTCGCATTCTCTCAGCCTCAGAGGAAGGGAAAGGCAACCCTCTGAACAGATCATGCCAAGAAACCCCCATGAAATGCTTGCCTTAGGGTAGCTATCGATCAGAAATTACTTGAAGGCACACAACAATAGAGAAGGGTAAGATTCTGCCCCTTCTTCTCCTGGTCCTGCATTCATTGAGGCAAACTACTTTTGCATTTTGAACTCGGTTTGCAGCAAGGGAAGTAAACTGAGGATAAGGGGGTAAAGCGAGAGGAAGAGAGAGAAACTGGGACATTTTAAAAGTCCCAATTTCTCTCTCTTCCTCTCGCTTTAGCCCTAGAAAAAGTGGAGCATCAGAGAGTCAACGGACTGTCCCTATCAAACTGGGACAGTGGGATGGTATGTAGATGGAAAGCACATTTTACCAGCAACAGTGTATCATGAGCTCTCTCTATTATGATAAAAACGTATTTGGGGTGGCTTCAATTTGATTGGGCAATTAAGAACCATTAGCTTTACAACAAAACTGCTCCCAAGTGCTGCTACAATTGATTTGTTGGCAATGACCAACATAGCTGCAAAGGCAGGTGGATTGTCTTTGAGTGAGTTACAGAGATAATTCACAATGAACAGCTGTGCTTCAAATCTGCTACTATACCATAGCTTACATCACTTTAAGCCTAGGTAGCTTTCAAATATCAGTGGGAACAAGCTCACCAGGGCAGTAACTCTTTATATTTTTTAAAAAACATTAACAATGGAAATTTATTATTATTATTATTATTATTATTATTATTATTATTATTATTATTATTAAACAGGGAAGAGAGGAGGAGATACAGTGCCCAAACACACACACACAGAAATTCTGGTCCTAGCTAATACATGATAATGGAAGATCAATGTTTTATATTGCAATGAGCTGCTGTTGTGTGCCTTCAAGTCATCTCCAACTTATGGTAACCCTAAGGCGAACCAACCTATCATGGTGTTTTCTTGGAAAGATTTGTCCAGAGGAGGTTTGCCATTGCCCCTGAGGCTGAGAGTGTGTGACTTCCCCAAGGTCACCCAGTGGGTTTCTGTGGCTGAGTGGGGATTTGAACCCTGATCCTCAGCATTATAGTCCAATATTCAAACCACTGCAACACACTGCCTCTAGCAGTTAGCATATTCTGAAATAAAGTGTGTTGGGAGAGGAATATTCTCACCAGATATAAAATGTTGCAATCCTAATAAATATATCACACTGGCAGAATGTTATCTTCATTATTCCTAGACAACTTTTGACTTTTATGCTTAAGGCCACACACATACACATATTAAGCTGAGTACTGAGATAGAAAAAGCCCTGATCTGTCTAATATCAAATAAAATCCCATCA